TTTCAAAATGGGGCACACTTGGGATTTTATTTTTCTCTAAGAAGAATGCCCTTCCTAATACTAAGTGAATGGACTTGTAGATGAGTATTCTGTCCTAACATGTCCCTAAAGCCCCTGGCCTATTAGAAAACAGTCACACAAAAAAATGTGTTTCACTCCTACATACTTGTGCGGAGTATGAGAAGGCTGACCTCACATTTGGTTCCGCTTCATACCCGTGTGGGAAGTGGTTAATGTCTTTCCTGGGTGGAAAAGGGGGTATAGGAACTCCAGAGTCTGGTCCTGTAACTGCTGTAGTTTAGTGGTTCTCATGACATCAAGCACATCTTAGCCTCCCTTTGCCTTAGGTTTCACTTGTAATCTTACAATGTCTTAAGTCACCCTAGAGAGATTATTTACAACTTCATCTCTGCAGTTTTTTTTGCTGTCATTTCCATCCATCTTTCCTTTGCCTTCCTCTGTGCTCCTTACCTGGTGTTCTGACAATGGCTTCTTGAACTTATCTGTCACAGACATTTAGTTTAATAGCAATCTTCTCAAAGCTCAGCTCTGATGATCTTTTTTTTTTTTTTTTTTTTTTTTTTTTTCTTTTTTTTTTCAGAGAGGGAAAAAGAGGGAGAGATAGAAACATCAATGATGAGAGTCATTGATCAGCTGCCTCCTGCACGCCCCACACTGGGGATTGAGCCCAGCCCCCGGGCATGTGCCCTGACCGTGACCTTCTGGTTCATAGGTCAACTCTCAACCACTGAGACACGCCAGCTGGGCTAATTTTACTTTTTGCTCCAAATTATTCCATGACTGGTCATTGCTTCCCTGGTGTTTAGGACCCTCCAAAGAGGACTTGCAATCTACCATTCCAAACAGTTAGCAATGTCCTACACGTCCTTTATACTCTAGTCTACTTAAACTTTGGTTTTGCCAGTTTCTGAATGTGCCTTCTTTGTATTTTCAAGGCATATTATAGATTTCTATATTTGTCTCTAGAATATAGATGGCAACCTTCTAGATAATAACCTTTCTGCAGATAGTTGCTAGCATTTATTGACCAAATATTTTTTCCCATGGACTGTGTGAGATATTTTATATTCACCATCTCTAGATTTTCTAATAATGTTAGTATTGTCTGTATTATTCAGATGGGAAGTCTGAGGCTCAGAAGTGGTTAAATGATGTCCTCAAGCAACACAGCAAGCATGTGACCACTCATGTCTTAGTGGTTTGACTTGTATCATCTAGAAAAACACTAAATGGAATGGTAGTCACTAATACTGTGAAAACTATGCACAGTGCTAGGTGGGTACTGGACTTATGGGGGGTCACTTTGGAAATTATATAAATGTCTAATCACTATGCTGTACATTTGAAACTACTATATATTTAATGTCAACTCTAAAACAAAACAAAACATAAAAACATTAACGTGAATGAATCGTGATGCTGGCACTTGCCCAGCAAATGTAGCTGGGCAAATTTAAACATGAATGAAGGTAAAATGTTTTTATACCTTAAATGCAGGCCCCTCACTTCAGATAACTGCCACCAGGTGGCAGTGGTTTGCTACAGCCATTAAGTCTGTTCTCAAGATTCACGAAAATGGAATAGGAGAGCAGGAAAGGTTGGGAGAAATTATTAGATGGACTCGCCTTATTTTATAAGAAAACTGAGAACCTGTAAGGCCATTCAAATTATCCAGATCTTTTAGTCAAAGGGCAAAACTTAAATGTGAGTCTAAAACTCCCAAAGTTAGTATTTCTTCATTATACACACTTGTATGTTTTTTTCTTCAAAACTTATAATTTATAGTTACAACTTCCCCATACTTTCAATATTAAAATATTCATTAAAATGGCAAATGTAATCAAAGTTAACCAAAAATTATATAAAAATCTAAGCATTTTAAAACAAGTAATATGGCTTTTGTGTTTTAAAAAATGTTAAAATATAGATAATGCAAAAGAGGGAAAAAATTATTTCCGACAACTAGAGATGAATATTATTTTGGTATATATTGTCTCAGAGGTATTTTTTTTTTTTACTCATCCGTAAAACCCATTTTAAAAAATTAGACATGATTTTTATTTTAAAATTAGATAATTTTTTTCTCATTAAAAAAAAAATTAGATACAAACCAAGACATAATCTACTAACTTGTTAATCAAATTAATCTTAAATTTTCTCAATAATCTTACTTTTATAAATAGACATTTTTTAAGGGGACCACTTGGATCTTTTTATTTTTTAAATGTGTTTTTATTGGTTTCAGAGAGAGGGTGGGAGAGAGAGAAACATCAATAATGAGAATCAATTGGTTACGTCCTGCTCATCCCTACTGGGGATCAAGCTCCCAACTTGGGCATGTGCTCTGACAGGGAATCAAAGCAGTGACCTCTGGTTCATGGCTCAGTGCTCAGCCACTGAGCCACACCAGCTGGACTCCTGGATCTTTTAAAATTCTCCCAACCTAACCATGTTTATTAATAAGGGCAGACCATTTGTAATATACTGGGGTGTTTTTTTTCTTCATATATTTCCTGAGAAGATTCTCAGGGAAAATTTCAGTTTCATTTATATTTTGCTTTTTTCTCATTTTCTTTTTAGTAAGGGAAAGAGCAATGTCAGAACACTGTGTACCCAATCCATCTCCAAGTGGAGTTGTATCTTTTTTGCAAAAGGCACTTTTCACTTTTGTAATGTTATTCCTTCCCATCTCACCTGTCTTCTTAGGATGATGATACAATACCAGAAAGTATTCCTCAGCTGAAAGGACCAGGTCAGTTACATAAAATAGTATATTTTACACTAATGAGCATAAGATAATGAGCAGCATAAGGCTATAAATGCCTGACAAAGGTCAATCACATTGTCTTTACTAGAATGATTACATGCCTCTTATGGTGGGTTCTGTCAAGCTTTCTTTCTATACAGGATGCTCTCTGAATATAAATACTATCACTATTAGGAAATTTTGGCCCATGTGATTTCTATCCTCTGTATCTGCTGTTCTTAACAATCTATCACCTTTACCTTATGGGTATGCTGCAGAGGTGAGCAGGAGGAAAAGAAATTTGGGACGGGGGCAGGCAGGAAGCAGAGATAGGTGCCAACTATTAGTTCTCTCTTAATGGGGACCACTGCCAGAGTTAAAGATGCGGGGGAAGCCGAAACCGGTTTGGCTCAGTGGATAGAGTGTTGGTCTGTGGACTGAAAGGTCCCAGGTTCGATTCTGGTCAAGGGCATGTACATTGGTTGCGGGCATATCCCCGGTGGGGTATGTGCAGGAGGCAGCTGGTCAATGTTTCTAGCTCTCTATCCCTCTCCCTTTCTCTCTGTAAAAAAAGAAAAATCAATAAAATAAAATAAAAAGATGCAGGGGGAGAGAAAGGCAGAGAGGACCTAGAGTGATCTGGGAAAAGTCAAAGCAAGAGGATTGTAGGAGCCCTGCCAAAAATGTTCTATATGACACTGGACTCAATACTTAGGTAATTACTAGAGGCCCAGTGCATGAAATTCATGCATGGGGGTGGTGTCCCTCAGCCCAGCCTGCACTCTCTCAAATCTGAGACATCCCTCTCACAATCCAGGACTGCTGGCTCCTAACCACTCACCTGCCTACCTGCCTAATTGCCCCTAACCTTCTCTGCCAGCCTGATTGCCCCTGTCTCTGCCTCGGTCCCCACCACCATGGCTTTGTCTGGAAGGAAGTTGGACATCCAGAAGATGGCCGGTAATCCAGTATAATTAGCATATTAACCTTTTATCAGTATAAATATCAGTGTTTCTGAGGTCCATTAATCCCGAACTCAGATACCTTTATGTCATAAAATTCCAGGTGCCTTCTAGCCTTCCACCATTTTTCCATTGATGAGATTGAAAATAAATCTGAGGAAATTATCATTTGACAGCTTCTCCCAGGTGGACTAAAGATAGTCATGTGGTAGGAAGTACTGTGCAGAGAAGGTGCTCTGGGCTTCAGACATTCCCCCTTCCACCTTCCCCCTGAGGCCAACTGCTGAAATACTGGTATGTGATTCCAACTGCATAGCCACCAAGGTGAACTGGAGCATCAGATTAGTCTGTAGCAATGTTCTTCTTCTAATGTTACAGGACCAAGATTGGGAGTGGACAAGGAGTCATTAGTGAAACAGAACTGTGAAGGATGAGAAAAAATGCCTGGTTCTGGCTGGGAAGTTACCAAACTGTTAAAACCCACTTCTTCTCAACTATGTCACATCTCCCTGTGAGTGTACTCACAAGCATTTCACTTCTGGTCACGTCATGACTCACTAATGAACAGCGACCCGCAGACGGAAACCACTACATTGTAGGGTATTAAATGGACTAGAACCACTGGATGAGCAGCGACACACTCAAGCCTGTGCTTCTAGGACCTGGGTGGCCAAAGCTGCCAGCTCCAGCAGTCTGTGTGTGACACCCCCCCCCACACACAAAAATGATGCGTTGGAGTACCTGAGTGACAGCCTGGTGCAAAGGGGTCTGAGAATATTGGAAGCACATCTAGAAGTCTGCAGATGTTAATCAAACAAATTCATAGAAATGAAATGCTGTTTAAACATATTTAAACAAAAGTACATAGGTTGGACAAACCCAGTGGACTAAGCATACATCATTATATTTAGTTTATTCTGATTAAATTCAATATTTCCTTGGGTACAGCCTATTATTGTTACTGCAGTGAAGGAAACCAAGATACTAATTACAACTCATACAATTTACTTGATGAAACAAAATTTGGAGAAACCAACTGGAAATTTCCAAGTTACATTTTCTTTCACACTTACTCTACCCAGTCAACCTGGAGTCTAACAAAAGGAAGATTAAAAAAGCAACACTAAAAATAGAAAAATAAACTGATGATTCCCTTCTTCCCACTCTCACAAAGAAATATTAAAAGTTTAGACTCTCTGCCTTTCCCTACACACACACACACACACACACACACACACACACACACACACACAGTTTTTAGACCAATAAAGAGAACAAGGAATAATTTTTTATTATCTTTTAGTTCAGTTCACATAATAATTAGTATCTGTGAAAGAATTCAAATTTATTGAATAAAAGGCTTTGGTTATGATTTATAAAAACAAAGCGAAGAATAAGTTGTTGAATGGGTAGCATTTAGTGAATAATACAGTTCTGAGAATCTATAATTGCTGTACATTTGATTGAAAAAAACAAACGAACAAAAATATTATGATACCATGAATATTTGTACAACAAATGTAGAATCTAAAGCTGTTAAGTTTACAGAAATGTAAGACCAAAAGTAAAAATAAAAATTAAAAAATCTCTTTATTTCTCATTTTCTGTTCTTGGAATAAATTTTAATTTTTTCCAGTGGAACCAAAACCTCCTGAGCCCCTTTCCGTGTCATCTAAAACCTGAAAAGATAAAAGGTGGTAAGCCGTCTGGTTAATTTCAGATCTTCTCAGTTCTCCCCAGCTCCTCATTAGTAAGACTTTGTTCCTGCTATTCCATCTTTTAAAAAGATTACCGAAAACAAAATTAAAGAAAGTTCCATAAATTTAAATGTTGAGTAATTTTCAAAAAAGCTAAGGAAATAGAACTTCACAGTATATTTAAATGATTTATTATCTAATATAACACTATATGATAGCCATGAAAATCATTCAGAAATTCTAAAGCTAAGATTTTAATTTTGCTTAAAAATGGGACTAGTCACTTATGCTATTTACTAGTAGTTACAGATAGCTTAATTAAATCTCACAATTTTATTTTTTTATTTATTTTTTTAAATATATTTTATTGATTTTGTACAGAGAGGAAGGGAGAGAGATAGAGAGTTAGAAACATCGATGAGAGAGAGTCATCGATCAGCTGCCTCTTGCACACCCCCTACTGGGGATATGCCCGCAACCAAGGTACATGCCCTTGACCGGAATCGAACCTGGGACCCTTCAGTCCCCAAGCCGACGCTCTATCCATTGAGCCAAACCAGTCCCGGCTTAAATCTCACAATTTTAATTTCCTTCACTGACCATTCATTCCCTACTCAGTTTTTATGACACTTACTTGAACTTCCTCTATTTCTGGATAAAAAATCCGTTCACAAATGAGCTGTGCAATTCGGTCACCCTTTTTTACTTCAAAGAGAAAAACAAAAACAAAAGTGCATTACTGATCTTTTATTAATGTATTCTCTGTACTCTGCCTTAAACAATGAGAATTATAGCATGTGTTATTTAGATGTACGTAACTTGGAAAAGTCACTGCATCTATGTGACCATACGTGTTTAACATACCTTCAAATTTTTCTTTGCCAAAATTAAACAGTACAACACCAAGATTTCCTCTATAATCTTCATCTATAACACCAGCTGAAGAAAAGAAAAATAATGTTAACTTGTTTTTTGCTACCAAAACACTAAGAGAGTATATAATTACCTCAAAATCACTCTTATGTGGCTCTGAGATTTTTAAATATTTTTAAAAATTAATTTTTAGAGATAGGGAGAGGGAGATAGAAACATTGATGAGAGGGAAATACTGATCAGCTGCCTTCTGCACAGCCCCCTGGTGAGGTATTGAGCCTGCAACCTGGGTTTTTACCCTGACTGCAGATCGAACCAGTGATCTCTCTTGGCGCCTGGGTCAACCCTCAACCACTGGGCTTCACCAGCTGGGCATGGGTCTGCAATTTTTATACAACTGAATAAGCATCTGGTAACTGTATAAAGTATCAAAACTAAGAAATATTATTAATATGCAAATAAAAATTTGAAGGTGTCCTTCATTTTCCAACCGTTACCCTTACAAATGGTGACAGTCTCCTACTCTAAACTGGGAGCAGGCACTTCACAACTCAGACAGGTCGTTCTGAATTGCTCTCCAAACCCACTGTCTATCCCGCTGCACACCTGCCAAAAAAGACCAGGAGAGAATTATGATTTGGACTTTAAAGGCTTTTCCTGGTGGCAGCTTCCTACTAATCTCCACATCAAAATATGATTGAGTCATAAACAAAAATGTTAGGAAGCCCGAAGATTGGCAGTGGAGTAAGTCAATGCTGACGTGGTTAAGTAGCCATCTACCAAATATCAGCACAGTTCATTTTTATAATGAAAATGGAGCTGAACCTTTTCAGTCACCACCTTTTCCTAGAGAGTGATCTCTCAGAAGACATTAGCACATTAGCTTAATAATGAGCACACTTTTACTTAGAATCCTATGTAATTAGTGCCTGGTTTGAGACTATAAACACAAGAACAAGAGGGAAATGTAAGCCAGGGCCCAGCTTTGGCTCAAAGAAGTACATCTACCAGACTTGTTAGCACTTATCTTTGAGCCAGGAATTTAAAATGTTTCCATAAACACAAGCATAGATAATGTAGGTGGCACCAGGCTTTTTCATTTCCTTTTTTAAAATTGAAACTTAATTCACAATTCAACAATTTTTAATGTATTCAGAGTTGTACAACCATCGCCATAATTTCAGAATATTTTCATTAGCCCAAAAGAAACCCCCTATCTACTAGCAGTCTCTCCAATCTCCCCTCCACTCCTATCAATTTCCTTTATACCTGCTAATTCTTTCCCCTTGGTTTGTAAAATGCTGGATAGAATTCATGCAAACCTAATCCAATGCAGGTCCATGTAAGGTCTATCTATTAACATCTACCTTCTTAAAAAAAAAACCAAAAAAAAAAACCACACACACAACAAAAAACTCTCTTATCAAAGGAAAAAAGGAAATAAAAGTAATTAGGAACTTAGCTCCATGGGTAGCAATGCTGTTTGGCAGGCTTCATTATTTAAAGGTCAACTGAAAAAAAAAAAACTTCTTATAGAACAAGGGTAAGCATTTCCTTTCAATTTTCTCAGATCGGGGGTTGGGGGGGAAGGAAATAAATAATAATAAAAAGAAAAGTTCCACCATAGGGAAAAAAAACCCTAAAACTCAGAAAAACTAACATTTTAGATTTTTCCAGTGGATCCTAGTAGAAGTTTAAATTAACCCCTGTACTTCATGAATGAATTACTAAGGATGTGAAATTGAATTTAATTATTTCTTAAAAGTCTTCCTTTCTACTTATACAGCAAGGACCAACTCAAAGAATACTGAAGCCTAATTTCTTTCCCCATTACCAGCTGACCATTAAATTTGTCCTTAATATTTATTTTGTTTAAATTTTTTTTTCTGATCTCTTTGGGTATTTAACTCTTTTGCATATAATTTAAGTATTTATTTTTTTATTATTAGTCTATGGTATCTTCTAAGATACAAAAACACTCCCTTTGTTTAAAGGCCTTTGGTATCTATCTATAAAGTTGTTTTATCAAACTCAAATGGTTGGGTATTTTAAATTCTGCAATGCCAAGTAATCCACCAAGATTTTATGCTCAGCATACAGACATGGGAAAAGCCTTCAACTAACTAAAAGAAATGAAGCTATTTGAAGTTAATTAAAATGTATGGCAGGGAAAAAAAGCTCTCAATTAAATGTATTTTTTAGCGTGAGTGCCAAAAGTATATATATATATATAAAAAAAGTTCTAAGTCCACTTATCACTCAAAGGCAATTTGACCTTCAAGAAAAACCTATAGTAAAGGACATTAGTTACATCAGGGACATGTCTCTTCATGAGAAAGCAGCAAGCATTTTGAAGTTATCACTGGAAAATTCATGCATTGGAACTGGCAGAGTGATTAACTGACTTCAGGCAGTGTTTTACTCTGTCAAGACTTTGGCATGTCGTCTGTTGGAAACCTTTAGTGAGAACTGTCCACACCTGCCAGATGTGAGTTCTGAACAGAATCCTGCAGACTCAACTTCTCCCTTTGACCCTTATTTACAGCCTGGGATTTCTAACATCTCTCCTCTGAAATAAAAACCGAGGCCAACTGTGATAAACCTGTGCCTAAGAGACATTTTTAAGATACTTTGCATCCAAGAACACACCACAAAATACCAAAATAAATAATACCAAACCAATCGCCAGGCAAACCAACTTTCCATTTCCTTTACATGAATTTTTTTCGGGTTTGTTTTCAACAGAGTAAAAATTAGTAACAAAGTTTCCACATTAAAAAAAAAAAAATCTGTGAAGTCCCTAGGGCAGTGGTTGGCAAACTCATTAGTCAACAGAGCGGCAAACTGAGCCGCAGTTTGCCGACCACTGCCCTAGGACACAGGAAAAATAACTTCCAGGATTTAATATGAGACAAATAGTATCAGAGTTACATACAGTAGCATTTAATCCTCCAACCCTTCACAGGTGTGCACTCTAACTTTCATTGTTGTTTCTCCAAAGCCCATGTGCCTTTCCCAACCCTTTGAAATGTCTTTTTAAATATACACAATTTTTCATATTTGTAATTTATAGTCCTAAATTACCATACTTGACCTTGTACAAGTATATTTGAAAATCACACATAACTGAGCCCAGGTAATTACTCAAGGCGGTCCATCCCTATCGTGTCAAACTCAGCTTCTCTTAGGGACTGCTTTTGGGCTCCTGTCTTGCCCCACAGCACCACCTAGTGACACCATGGGGAGACTAAGGGGCAGGCAGGAGATAGTTCAGGGTCAGGCCCCAACCTGCTTAACTCATGCAGTGTATGTGACAATGAGCTAACTCAGTACAGATTATGGCTGGTGGTGGATGGGCAGGGTGATCAACAGCATTAAATGGTGCTGGAAAGAATAAATGTAGTGAAATCATATAAATGGAGATTCCAGGTTTTGATGTGTCTGTCTACTTGGACTCATCTTTGAGCCAGTTTTCTCATCTGTCAAAAGTAGATAAAGCATGTTAGTGTGAAGCACTCGCTATTATCAATGGGGATAAGGAAGGGTCAGGACATAACCTGTCAATGGGTCTGTCACCAGGAATGAGATCCAAGTAAGGGAGGCATATCAGGAAGGTGAGAATTTCCATTCAGTAAAGGGCAGTTAGAGGTGGCCAGCAGAGGAGACTAAGGCTCCCTTATGAAAGGGGCCTGGTGAGGAAGTTGTTGACTTTGGGAGACATTGAGTAAGCCTTTGTTATAAGGAAATAGGAGCCATGGAGGACTTGCTCAGTAAGAAATCCTAACAGGCCCAGCTAAATATCATTCAGTGGTTGAATATCAACCTATGAACCAGGAGGTCAGGGTTTGATTCCCTGCCAGAGCACATGCTCGGGCTGTGGGTTCAATCCCCAGTGTGGGGCATGAGGAGGCAGCCGATCAAAAATTCTCTCTCATCACTGATGTTTCTCTCTCTCCCTCCCTCTCTGAAATCAATAAAAATATATCACTTAAAAAAAAAAAAAGAAAAGAAATCGAGACAGGAAAGGACTTTAGTGAAAGATTCTCTCTTATCTTTTGCCAACATGGATACCTTTCTTAAGGAGGTAAGAAAAATCTTACTACTATACTGACCTGCATTTTCTAGAACCTTTTGCTTAAGTAACATAAAAGCTTTTCCTTCTCTTGTAATAACAAAATTTCTTCTATGAATGGAGTCATTTTTGGACTAAATGCAGATTAACACTAAACCAAGGCAATAATCCTATCTGTCAGAGAGTAACTAGTTAGCCTAGTACGTAGTAAAATAACATGCATTTCACATAGTGGTCATTTAAAAATTAAACATATTCAAATAGCACTTATCATGAGTGTGTTATTCAGAGATTGAAATTTTTAAAAGGCAAGACACAACAGAAAACATTTCCTTTTCTTTAAGTAAAATAAAAATAAAATTTGGCATTAGATTACTTCCTCCTAATAAGCAAACACAAAGTAAATATTTGGAAATATTTACAGAATAAAAATGTAAATACAATACCTCCTACGTCTATAAAGTGTTTTGCAGCCAAGCCAGAACGTGGAGCTGAAAAAAACAAAAAAAGGAGAAATTGGCTATTTTAAGATATAACTGACAGAATTCAAGCATGTCATTACTCTTATTTCCTATCACTGATATCTTCATTTTCACTTCACTTACTACTCTGTATTACCAAAGTAGAATAGTTTAGAAAAATCTGATAACGTCTAATTTGAAACCCAACTTAAGCCAGTCCATACAAGTTCAGTCAATGGAGGACTACGGGAGTGCAGCCACGAACGACTAGAATGAACTGACAGGTGGTCGAGTGGGACAACCCTAGACAACTCTGTGAAGCAGGGCCACATGGGAGGATTGTAGGGGCACAGAACTGAGTAAAAGAACTTTTGTTTTAAAATGAGAGTTCTGAGCATGTTGCAATGGAGATGGGAAGAAGGGGGTATCGGAGAGAAAAAGGGAGAGAGGGGGAGGGGGAGAAGAGTCATAAATCTAATCAAAGAGTAACAGAGCCCAGTCTAGAACTTGGGGCTCCAACTCATGATACAGATGCCAAAAGACAGGTCTGTATGGAACAAGTGAACCAAGTAAAAGGCTTAATGTCAGTTGAAAAAATGCCAAAAACTAAACATTAGAAACTCAATGTACTATGCTTTTTACTCTTACTATGCCTTTTATTCTTAAAAATAAAATATAAAAAGCAGGGGTGGGGCAATCAACCAAAGAACTTGTATGCATACATGCATAACCCATGGACATACAGGATAAGGTGGTAAGTGCCTGGAGTGGGGTATTAGCAAGTCTCTTGGCCAGTAATGATACTCTTGCTATCAGCTCCCACCCCAGCTCTGGGAGAGGAGGGTGGGTCACAGTTCCACTTGCTCCTTTAGGTTTTCTCTGAAGTTAGTCAGGAAGTGAGTATGTTCTTGAAAAGAAGTTTTAAACTCTCCAGTGACAACTGAATCACTCTAGGAAAGTAGAACCTGAGAACCTGCGCTCCATTTTTGTCCTAGCTCCTCCCTCTGTGAGGTGTTTCCCTCACTGAAGTGTTTCCCTAACACAGTGGTCAGCAAACTCATTAGTCAACAGAGCGGCAAACCGTGGCTCGAGAGCTGCAGTTTGCCCACCACTGCCTAACACACTTCAAGGGGGCAACCCAAAAGGGAAAAGGCTAAATCTAAATGGCTTGATATACTTTGGGACTAACAGGTTTTAGAAGTTCCACTCTCATGATATAAAATGATTGTGCCATTATCCTGAGTAGGCCTCTATTTTCTTAAATAATAAACATTAGCCATTCTCATCCCCATCTTCACAAAGAAGTCTTGACTTCATATGCAATCTGGCTTTTGAAGGAGGAGTTGGTGGTAACCCTGGAAAAAGTGCCAGTTAAAAATCACCTATATTTTCAGTTTTTCTCACAGTGAGAACCTCTTGGGCCAATGTGAGCCTTCTAAGAGCTAAAGTAAAGAATCAAAAAAATGGCAAAGAGATAAAAGGCAAAAGCAGATATAGGCATACCTTGTTTATTGTGCTTCGCAGACATTATATTTTTTACAAATTGAAGGTAAGACCCTCCATCAGCAGAGAGATTGCAATTTGCTGAAGGCTTGGATGATTAGCATTTTTAAGCAATAAAGTATTTTTAAATTAATGTATGTACATTTTTAGACACAATGCTGTTGTATACTTAATAGATTACAAAAGAATATAAACATTAACTTTTATATGAACTAGAAAACCAAAAAAATCATGTGACTTGTTTTATTGTGATATTTGCTTCATTGCAGTGCTTTGAAATGGAACTGGAATATCTCCAAAGTATAATTATGTAAATGAAAGTTTTCAAACAGCTGCACTTGCCCTAACAGTTGGCATTTCCTTCTTTTAAGACCCAGGCCAAGAAATATCCCTTCCCTCATTTATACCCCAGATAAAACTAAGATGAAGGAACATATCACAAAAACATCTTAGTCACTTACCCACTCTTCCATAGCACCCAGAAGGAAGAGCTATCTGAATGTCGGTTTTCACAAGGGTTTTCTCCATGGGTGGTATTGTGTAATCATAGGCACTATAGAGATATTAGAAAAACAAAAACAAATCACTGGTATTTAGATGATTTTTCTAACTCATATTAAGCCTCACAACAATCCTCTAAGGCAGTGGTTCTCAACCTTTCTAATGCCGTGACCCCTTAATACAGTTCCTCATGTTGTGGTGACCCCCAATCATAAAATTATTTTCGTTGCTACTTCATAACTGTAATTTTGTTACTGTTATGAATCATAATGTAAATATCTGTGTTTTCCAATGGTCTTAGGTGATCCTGCTAATGGTTCTCAACCTGTGGGTCGCTGTAGAGCCTAAGACCATCAGAAAACACAGATATTTACATTATGATTCATAACAGTAGCAAAATTACAGTTATGAAGTAGCAACGAAAATAATTTTATGGTTGGGGGTCACCACAACATGAGGAACTGTATTAAGGGGTCACGGCATTAGAAAGGTTGAGAACCACTGCTCTAAGGGATCATGGAAAACATGCAGAGAAAGGGGGCAATGGGTGGGCCACCTAAGTGGGGAGAGCTGGTTGCATCTGTTCTGCTGGTCTTGGTGGGTTAGCAAGCACACCCAGCTGCGGCCATGACCTTTCACCAGCTGAGGGAGAGAGCTGACCACTGTGACCAGCCCTGGAGAAATGCACTGCTGAGGAACTGATTCTCCAAGGTCCACCCTTCAAGTGCTGCTGCTGTTTTTATTGTAGCCCCCTCTTTGATGGAAATTTAAAAATAAGCAGAACTGGAAGTTACTTTGAAGACCTTCATCAAGACTGGTAAAGCGGCAGTGTATTTTTACCTTCTTCAATGAAATTTGTTCTCTTTGAAAGGGCAGGACAGGGTAAGGCTAACTCCTGACTTCATTGTGGGGCAGGGTGGAGCTATCCTTCATTTTGTGTAACTGGACCCTAGCCCTCACCCAACCAATCAGGGTCAGCCAAAGCAGTGATATCACCACCCTTATAAAACCTCTTGACCTGTGAAGTTCCGTGTGAGTGGGACAGAGCCCATGCTAACATAGAAGAGGCTCTTTTGTTTATTGCATCGGGCTCGGCTCCCTGGTGGTCCTTGGGGATCATGAAGTCTGGGCGTACTCTTCAAACAGTTAAACATTAACTTATTAAAGAGTTCCATATCTATTTCAGTATATAAAGATGCTCAAAGTACCTTAAGTCAATTTCTTCTTAGATTCAGAACAGTGCCCAGACATGGTAGTCAAACTATATGTTATACTTATTTCTATTCATGAAAACTAAGGGGCTGAACTCTAATCCCTTTCAGCTACAACAGTCTATGCTTCACCTTTCTTTTTCTTTTTCTTACTATATTCACAGCTCTTTCTCCTCTTCTCTTGTACTTATGACTTGGACCATAATCCTCAGGTTAGAATTACCTGGAATGCTTTAAAATACATCCTAAGGCTCAGATCACTCCCTATCTATACAATATCACTTTTCACCTACTTTAATGATCCTAAGTGGGCACAGAAGTCCAGTGAAAAAAGGCACTTAATTCAGGGTCAAAATGCTCTTACATTCAAGCCTTTGGATTAATCAATTCAGCTCCTTACAAACTTCTCACCTGTAAAAGGTAGCACTCACCTATTCAGACTGTTATGAGGATTTAAAAAATATAGTTTTTAGTATAGGTAAAAAGTACACAAGTGAAAAGGTGGGAGTATAACTAATATTTCTGTTTCTCATATTCAAGCCCTTTGTGAAATTTCCAGTCCTCGGGGCAAACTTAAATATGAACCCACAGAGAAATTTTATTAACTCTTCAAACAAAAGCAGCCTTCATTAATCCTGCCTAGGTATTTTTATATGACGCACCTCGGCTCCACCCGGCTTCTCCTTCCAGAATGCACAGCATCGTGGCTCAGGCCTTGAAGGGCAAGGTGTGCTTTACACATCCCTACCTTCCCCTCGAAGAGGATGCAATCAATTTTGCAGAACAACACCTCAGAGAATGTTTCATGTTGCAAAATAACGCCTCAGAGCACGTTTATGAATACTTATCTACTATTCTACGCTCTTGGCCCAGATCCCTGTTAAATTCAGGTTAAAGAGGAAAGCTAAAATTTTCAACATAAAAAGTCAGAAACTGTACTGTGAGCGAAAGGAGCCACATGCTAACCTGACAAGCTCAGGGGAGGCCTGCGTGGCAGTCTTGCAAACTCAGAGACCTAAAATAACCACAAAAGATGGTTTAAAAATTAAATATTTCAACTACAAACAGGTTATAATAGTCAAGTCCTATACCAATATTTTCTCTGACAAAGATCAACTTAGATCTTCTTTACTGAGCCCATTAGCCTTTTTCTTGCCTCTAAGATAACAGATCTTTGAGATGTCTAGTTAACTTGTAACTTCCCTTTTTCTGGAGCCCCTGGGGCACAACCTAATGTGGTGGGTGCCAGGACAGAGGCCTCACATTCCTTCTTTATCATGTTAATTGTTCCTGCACTCACCTGACTACACGTCCATCATTTTACCTTTTATCCTGTCCCAGGGGTTTCCCACCGCTTTGCTTTATCCCACCTCCTTAATCTATCACCAATGAATTTCATGTAACCCACCTATGTCCCTCCTTTGATTGCAATGTATAAATAGAGAAATGTAACCCGCCATTCTTCGGAGCATTATCTCAATCCACTGAGGTTCTGCTGATCCTTTGGCTCAAATAAACTCACTAAAATTCTTTACAGGTTTCGATGTGTATTTTTCGTTAACAGTACATATAAGCAAAAAACGTTTGCCTCTGTAATCTTTTCAATGGAAGCTGCAAGCTGTAGCAGCAGAATGTAAGCTAATGTGACAGAAAGCTCTAAAAGTGGAGAATTAGCCTTTTCTGGGCGGGGAGGGCAGGCAGCGAAGGAGGGGGCAGAAGGCGGCCTTCCCAGGCTCCCCCCCACCCCGGGCGCCCTCCTGTGGGGCCGGGGCCCGGGGCAGCACCCACCTGTACAGGTCGTAGCCCGCGGCGCGCGCGGAGCCCTTGCTGGGGGCGGTGGCGTGCTCCGAGAGCCGCACGAAGCGGAGCCGCAGGCCGCCCTCCTCCGCGGGCCGGGGCCGCTTGCTGGGGGAGACGGCGAGCGTGTCTTCGGAGCACGGCATGGCAGGGAGCACCCGGGCAGAGGTGAGCACAGGGGACCAAGAAGCAGCAGAATGAGGCGAACCGCCCGCAGCGCGCTCCAATTCTCAATTTCCCGCCCGAAACGCCCCCTCCCGCCCCTAGACGAGCCCAACCCGGGGCCGAGAGGGGAGCGGGGGGGGGGGGGGGGGTTCCAGTTTGGGGCTGGAAACACTTCTCCGAAAACAGACCGAAACTATGGACCATTTTTAAACTTTCCAAACTTACACACGTGTCCAGGGCAGGGGGCGGCCTCCCCCGCACACAACAGACACCACGCCACCCCCGGGGGGACCGGGATGGCCTCGCTCCCGCGCCCGGGGGCTGCGAGCTCCCAAAAGGCGCCAAAACCCGGGACTTCCCGCCGCCCTCCCCCCAGCCCCGGGGCGGGCCCGGCCCCCACATTACTGGCGCCGCGGCATCCTCGGCTCAGGCCGCGCGCGCTGGACAGCGGCCCGGGGGCCCGGGGCGGGGCGGCGGCCGGCGGGGAGGGGCGGAGGCCCGCCGTCGCGGCGCCCGGAGGCGGACTTATCGCGCCGGTGAGCCCGGAGCGGAGCCAAGACGGGAGGGAACTGTAGACGAGCCCGAGGCACGGGCGGAGGGGAGTCATTTGCCGGAGATGCAGGCGCTGGGTGGCTCTTCCGCTCCCGCCCTCAGACCATCCGGCCCGGTGACCTCGGAAGCAGTAGCCGCCGCCTCCTGGGCGCACGGAAGCGGGGCATCCCCGCTACCGGCCCGGCTAGGCCGTGGGAATCCCGGGACGTGGCACCCGCTGTGTCCGATCCGGCAGCCTTTGCCTCCCTCCCAGTCTCGTGAGGGGTTTTTTGTTTGTTTGTTTGTTTGTTTTGTTTTGTTTTTCCTTCCTTCGGGTCCCCTTTTTCTGAGACTGCCCTGGAGTTCCACTGCCCGGGCCCTGCCGGCTGGTGACTCACCTGGGGCGGCTCCGCCCGCGGCCATGGCTCCCCAGGGTCTGACCTCAGGGGTCGCCTCACGTCGCTAGTGCGAGCCGCGGCGCTCAGTCCTGCGCCCCAGGCTGTGCGGAGAGAAGGGAGTTCGATTCCCTTACAACGCCGCCGCCGAGTGCGCTGGTGTCTTGTTACTCTTAAAGGGGGTCGGGGGCAGAGTTTTAACTGTGACGACACATCAGTTGAAATCCTAGCACTGTCCTGATGACCCCACTGCTGCCTGGTGCGCCCTCCCCTTTAAGCCCCCAACCCGTGGCTGTGATCCACAGATCTGGGCCACCTGGTACAACGTACAGTGGGAATGAGCAGACCACTTTCTATATATAATAGTACATTGATTTTCCTTGCTGACAGATATCCCCAGTTGTCTCTGGAACCAACGCAGAAATCGGAATACCTAATTGTAAAGCACTTTGTCAATGTAAACAAAAATTATAGTGACAGGGCAGGAGCAATTTTAGAAAAATGGCAAAAATGTCAGAGCATGATTGGGGAAGGTTTGAGATGTCCTTGGTGTGCCTTTCATTAAGGGTGGTCCCCACCTTTTCAAGCTCCTTTATAAATGTTGCAATTCCTCTGGATGAGGTTATGGGTTAGACTGTGTGCTCTCTCTTCCCGTGGCTTTAACTATTGCCTCTACCTTGCAGGATCCCCAAATGTATACCTATGGCAATATGTTCTGGGCCATGCTGCTTCAGCCTCATTAGGGTTGTTGAGATTCAGTCTATCACCCCCTTCTTCACGCCATTCTTCCAATAGTTTTGAAGCAATTTTTGGATAAGTCTGCAGTTAGTATTTACTTTATGGAGACTGTAAATATCATTCACTGTTGAGACAAAAAATGTGAGGTGTTTATATTTTTCACCTGTTCCCTTCAAGTTAATTACTTTGTTTTCTATTTGTCTTTGTTAGTACGCAGTATTGTGTTTAATTCATCTGTTGGTTGTTTTTATCAAATGCTCCAGTGGATCCAATACCTTAAACATCTATCACAGCAAATGAAACTAAAATCCTCTTATCAGTTCCATTTCCCTTCTCTTTCTCCTCTGTTCTGTAATCCTGCTGAATAGCTGTCATCCTGAGACTTAAGTGGGACTTGCCCCACTTTTGTATTGGAGCCCTGGTTTTATGGTCTAGTATATTGCTCTTAGTTTGTATCCCATTTTGTGAAGTATTTTCTCTAGAATTTTTCTAAGGAAATTCACAGGCAAGAGAAATAATTTGAGTCTTTGCATATCTTAGAATATAACGATTGTAATTTTACCCAGATCCAGATAAAAATCACACTTCATTCATGAAATATCCTTACAACCAGTAGTGAACTCTGCATTATCTTATCTCTTATAACACTATAAAATTCATTACCAATATACTCATAATTGTGTAATTGTCCCATATGTATGATCTTTATCTTTCACATTAATGTTTTACAGTTTTATGAACCCTTCAAAGCACCTACTTCAGTGTATTACATAAAAATTATTTGTTTGGCTCCTTATGATAGCACCAAGAAAGTATTCAGAGATTTCTTCTATTACAGAAAGTGTGGATACAAAAAGTGTTTACTTATCACTTTTCATCTGAGATTATTTTTAATTGAAAAGAGAAAAGAGCATAAACCAATGGGAAAGAAGGAATAGGATAGAGTTCTGAATCAGTCAATATTTAATAAGACATTCCTTATAACAAATAAGAACTAAACATGTCCTACCTATAGTCAATTTTGTGCTGTTTTTTTTTTAAATCAGAATGTACTTATTTTATCAGTCATGTTGATTAATTCAATTAGATAAGTCTAATGTCAACTGAAACCTGTTGAGAATATTCTTCCTACCTTTGCCGTTATAGTTAGTCTTGCCTTATCTGTGAGTTAGCCTTCAGCCGTTTCAGTTACCTATGTCAACGTGGTCTGAAAATATTAAATGGAAAATAGATAAACAGTTCATAAGTTTTGAATTAAACACCATTCTAAGTAGCATGATGCTATCTCATACTGTTAATGCACTATCCTTCCGCTGTCTTGAATCATCCCCTTTGTCCAGTGTATTCATGCTGTATATGCTCGCTGCTTGATAGTCATTTAGTAGCCGTCTTGATTATCTTACAAATTGTTGTGGTATCACAATGCTTGTGTTCAAGTAATCTTTTTAAAAATATATATATCGATATTTTTTATTGACTTCAGAGAGGAAGAGAGAGGGAAAGAGGAATGGAAACACCAATGATGAGAGAAAATCATTGATCAGCTACCTCCTGGGGATCGAGCCCACAGCCCAGGCATGTGCCCTGACTGGGAATTGAACTATGACCTCCTAGTTCATAGGTCGATGCTCAACCACTGAGAAATACCAGCTGAGCTCAAGTAATCTTTATTTTACTTACTGATGGCTCCAAAGCCCAAGAGTAGGAATACGCCAAAGAGAAGCTGTAAAGTGCTTCCTTTAAGTGAAAAGATAAAAGTTTTTTACTTACTAAAGAATGAAAAAACAAAACAAAAACATCTTATGCTGAAGTTGCTAAGCTCTACAGTAAGAATGAATCTGCTATCATGAAACGGTGAAGAAGAAAAATTCATGCAAGTTTTGCTGTTGCAGCTCAAACTGCAAAAGTTACAGCCACAGCATCCGATAAGGGCTTAAGATGGAGAAGGCGTTAAATTTGTGAGTGGAAGACATGAACAGAAAACATGTTCCAGTTGACATCAGCATGTTGCATCAGAAAGCATTGAGCCTATAGGAAAACTTCAGCTAGAGATCCACTGAAATTAGTGATACCAAGCTATTTGCTGCAAAATAAGGGATTGTTTTACAGATTCAGGAATAGGTTTGGACTGAAAAATATAAAAATGACTGGAGAGGCAGCATCTGCCGATGAAGGAGCTACTGCCACATTTCCAGCAGAGTGGAAAGAGAAAATATTTCATCCAAAGCAAGTTTTTTTTTTTAAATTTAATAAATCTATTGTTTAGATGATTACAATTGTTCCTCTTTCTTCCCCCGCCCCCCAATAGCTCCCCTCCACCCAGTTCTCACCCCACCCTCTACCCTTACTTTCCCCGCTCTGTCCTCATCCATAGCTGTATGATTTTTGTCCAGTCTCTTCCTGAACCCCCCACACCCCTTCCCCCTTGAGAATTTTCAAGCAAGTTTTTAATTGCAATGAAAACCAGACTTTTCTGGAAGAAGATGCCCAATAGAATCAACATTCATAAAAGTTCAAAAGAGGCAGCAGGACATAACACATGGAAGGACAGATTAACTCTGGTACTATCATATCTGGGCATATGATAAAGCCCTCAGGCATAATATATAGAGCAAAGAACACACTCTCAGAAACGAAAATTATCTGCCTGTGTTCTGGCAGCATAATGAGAAAGCATGGGTGACAGCCTTCTTATTTATGGAATGATTCCACCACTACATCCATCACAAGAAGGGTGAATAGAATAAGATATTGACAGAGACCACATTCACATGAGTTTATTATTGTATATTGTTATAATTGTTCTGTTTTACGTGTTATTGTTCACCTCTTATTGTACTTAAATTACAACTTAAACTTTAATGTATGTATGTATGTGTGTGTGTATATATATATATATATATATATATATATATATATACACACACACACGAATAGGAAAGAAACAGTATATGTAAGGGTAAGGTTTGGAACTATCTGTGGTTTGTTGTAAGTTTCCACTGGGGTCTTAGAACATATCCTCTGATAAGGGAGAACCATATGGTATTTTTCTTTCTCTTTTTAACAAAGACTGACATAATAACTTTATGCCAGTTTTATTCTAAGTGGTGTATAAATATTAACTCATTTAATCATAGCTAGAAGAAACAAGTGCTATTTTTATCCCCATTTCATGGATGGAAAACTGAAGCACAGAGAGGATTCTTTCCCCCCCCCCCCCCCAAATCCCCCAATTAGATCCAGGATTCAACTTCAGGTAGTCTGGGTTCAAAGTCCATGCAGTTAGCAGCCGGCTCTGTAGTTTATGCACCCCATGTTTACTCTTTTCAATACTGAGCCTGCTGTTGGCTGTGTTTCCCAAGTCCGGGAAAGATGTGTAGTAAAGTAGCCAGGCATTCTTAGTTTCCCAGTTGATCATGTCCTCCGAGTTAAAACAGTTCCTCACTGGGCCACACACCTCTTCCTGCCTCACTGGCTGCCTCTTCTCCGTCTCCTGTACGGCTTCTTCTCTTCTCAGCCTCTCTTCTTGCCTAAGACAAAGAGTCTGGGAGTCTTGCTTCTTCTCCCCCTTTCTCTCAGACCTTCCCTTATGTAAAAAACGTCTCCTCCTAATGCTTTACCCTATTCTATTTTTATTCATAGCATGTATTAAAATGACATTTATTTATTTCACCTATTAGTTATGTGTTTCCTCCACTAGCATGTAAGCTCTGAGATGGATTAAACTAGCTTAATTTGGGTTCTTTTCAGATGTTCTGTGTGTGTGTGTGTGTGTGTGTGTGTTTAACCCATTCTTGCTTTTTTAAAGTTTTTTTTTTTTTTAATATATTTTATTGACTTTGTACAGAGAGGAAGGGAGAGAGATAGAGTTAGAAACATCGATGAGAGAGAATCATCGATCAGCTGCCTCTTGCACACCCCCTCCTGGGGATGTGCCCACAACCAAGGTACATGCCCTTGACCGGAATCGAACCCGGGACCCTTCAGTCCCCAAGCCCACCTCTATCCACTGAGCCAAACCGGTCTCGGCAACCTTTTT